GAATATTTTATTAATTAAGTTGTAAATATTTCAGCAAAGAAAACTCATAAAATATTTTTTTTTTAAACTAAATCTTACTTAAATATATAAGGAATCTAAATAAATAATCAAGGTAATTGAAATTTGAATGACAGGGCGGCTCTTTGTGCACCTGGATGGATCGTTGTAGGTCCTAAAATCATTTGTCGTGCGCCTCGTTAGTTTCAATCTTGAAGTGGCTTGCTTCTTATATGACGAGCTCCAGCAATTCCTATAAGTGAAATTAATAATCATTAACAATGATAAATTGTTATAACAAAATTAGTCTACCAGTTAAAAATATTGAATGTGACTTACATTGTACTGATCGTCCCACCATTTAAAATCCATCTTGATTTCATTGGTAACTTGATTAACATGCACTACATTTTTTTGCTTAATCTTTTGTGTGCAATGTACCACACTTTCAGATTATCATAATGATTTTTGAAGTTTTCCATACCAATTTGTAGACCGTTGGATTAATCGCTCTTTTCTTCTTTTATTAAGAGAATCTCTTTTCAATTCTCTTCATCTTGTTCCGATACAAAAATGTTAAGGAAGGTATGAGTATTGACATCGTTCCATGTGATATTTTCTACAAATATTTTAAAAATACATTATATTGCAACATAATTAATATGTATAAAATTTATACTAATATTGCTTGATATATAAATATTTTACCTTTCGAGAAGAAGATGACGACATTTATGTAAAGATAAAAAAATTTAAACTAATTAAATATAACAATGAAAATTTTATATATATTGATAAGAAAATAAATAGAATTAGTACCTATTGGTTTTGTGTGTTTGATGAAATTGATTTTTCTTCTTGTATTTATACTAAAAGAAATCTTCTTAAAATAGCATTTGATTTTTTTTGAATCCTTCGTAAATGTTTTCAGTTATTTATACAATATTTTTTAGTCTTTAATAATTAATAGTATATTAATATTAACATATGACTTTTCTTGATGGTAAAACCTAAACTAATTAATTAAAATGAATTTATTAAGCATTATACTTATTTTTCTTTCAGTTATTATCCTTTTTGAACCCTTCGTAAATGTTTTCAATTATTTATACAATATTTTTTAGTCTTTAATTAATTAATATTCTATTAATAATAAGGTATGACTTTTTTTTAATGGTAATACCTAAACTAACTAATGAAAATGAATTTATTAATTATTATACTTATTGTTTCTTTTATTTTAGTAAGAAATGAACAAAAAAACCAAAAAAAAAAAACAATTCACATTTTTGTTAAAAAAATGAAGAGAGAGAATGTTGTAAAGTTCTAAAAGAGTAACTGTAGAAAAAGGTGAACAAAAGAATTTTTTTTATTTTAAAGTGGGGTTTTAAAATTTTACAAATTTTTAAAGCCTGAAAAAGTAAATGGCAAATATTTGTCTTTACGACCATCAATATCGCAGAGACGGGTTAGAGGGTTTTTAGATTTTTTGTTTTTTTTTTGTTTTTTGTTTTATCCTCTTTTTTAGAAAAAAAAAGAGACCAATCGCGGACCGCCACATGTCGTGGCGGCCCGCGAAACAGTGTAAAAATCTCCCAGCAAACGTTGCTTATTGTGCAACAGAGAAGTCCGTTTTTTCTCCAACCGTGGGCCCTCCACCCTCTAGAATACGGTGTGGAGACCGGGATAAAGATGGTCTTAGTTTTACTTAACTACAAAGCCTCTAAAACCTAGACACCAATCTGACTCCAAGTTGGTTTTGCCCAGCCTAAAACTCATACGACCCATGGATAGCTTGCGAGTGAAGTCATCCTTGGCGCTAAATGTATTCAGCTATTCAAATTAGATCTACTTGTGTTTATTTAGTTTGACTACTGTACCTACCTCAATTTCTATGTCTAAATTCACCTATTGGTACTATATAAATTAGCAATTTTTTTGTTAACAGATAAATCAGCTTTCTAAATCACACAATCCTGGTGACCAAAAAATATTAAATGAAACCTAAGTTATCGATTTCCATCATTACTCTTTTCCGATGTATTGGTATTTGTATGAAACATTAAGGTTCTATGTATTTGAGCCATCTAATTCGATTTATGCTTCTAAAGTGGACCTATGTTGTTCTAAGAAGAATACTGATTTCGGCTGAGAAGTTCTTGATTAAGCTTAATCAAAAAAAAAATGCATAAAAATGTATTTGCGCGCAGACGAATTTTAAGTATATCACGATCAATTGACATAAGAATGTATAATGCTCTGATGTTCTATAGCTGACGTAATTAAAATGAGTAGCTAACTGCTAAAAGTGCAAGGGTCATAATTATTAATATCATATTCGACATTCGAAACGAAATGTATAAAAGTTTTGTATGACATTAGATCTTTTAGTGAGAGAAAGTTAATATTCGATCAAAATTGGGAAATTGTAACTAATAGCACTTTCTTTGTACACTATTTCACATTTACCTTAACCAACTATACCATTACAAATTTAGTAGGCAAAATACTATTATACCCCTAACTACATAAACCTCAAACTACTCTCTCTTTCCCACGATTTCTTCTTCATATCTCAGATCCATCCGATCAAACATTATCTCAAATTATCTACGGCGATCAAATCCGACGAGAGTCAACCGCGTTGACGAGTTCTCTGGCTAGATTTGACGATGCTGGCGTGTTCTTCGCTCTTCTCTACTCTGTTCTCATCCCAACATCAGCTGCCGCAAACGTCGCCGTATCAGCAACATGCGTCTTCTAGTATCGGTTTTCAGTCACCGTTCAACACGGTGCAGCAGCAAACGCCTTTCCAGAATACGCAATTGACTACTCAGATGGCTCTTGTAGCTCCAATTCCTTTCCTCTCGCTGATCGTGATATCCGAAATTAAAATCTTTTGGTTTCTTGCAAGTCCAGATCTAGAATCCCTAACCCTAATTATCTCGATTTTGATTTAGGCAATCACTGAAGTGTATAAAGAGGATCCGACTAACCCTGAGTATGCATTTAAGGTTAGCTTTGGGTGGAAATATTATGAGTTCTATTAGTTGTGTGGAGATTAACTGTTGTTTCCGTTTTGCCTGTAGCATCTTTTGTTTAGTGTGACTGGACAACAGTATCGTGTAAAGCCTGCAAGTGTATCAGATGTGAGAATCTTCTTGAATCATATCATTGAAATGTGTAGCTTTCTTGTGTGTATTAATGAGCTCGTTATTTTTTTATTCCTCTTGGTGGATAGATAATGTGGGCGGAGGCCATTAGTAAACTTGAAGGCATGAATTCTTCAGAAAGAGAGCATATGTGGCATCAGCTTGTGCAAGGTTTTAAAGATCTTTCTCAGCGTCTCAAGGTAGACTTCATCAACTGCCAAGTTTCTTACTTTTTTTTTGTTCAGTGGCTTGTCTATATGTGAGCAAGTTACTGTTTTGGTTTTGGAGATTAACATTACATCCAATGATATGTGGAAAAAAATCATTCATTCAGCACATTTGAAGAATGAACTTGACACTCTTTTTGTTGTGTGCCTGCAGCTACAAGATGAAGTTCTCGCATCAGATAGGGAAAGAAGAAAAACTACTTAAAGCAACGTTAAAATGGTGACTCAGAAATATGTATAAGTGATTTAACCTTATCAATATTTGTAAACCTTTAGAAATTATTTTACGTAAGTTTATAAAAGTTTTTAAATATTTTTTAACTTATAAACCCTTATACCCAAAAAGCAGTTAATAAACTCTGATAAATCATTTTAAAGTTTCTTGTACGTTAATTTATAAACCCTTATTAATCAATATATAAATACTTATGAAATGATTTATGAACTCTGGACCAATGAGTTTTAAAATTTATGAACTCTGGACCATTTGTTTATTTGGATTTTTGTTTACAATATTTCTTTGTTTCAGATTATGAAACTAACACGAACTGAGTTTTACAAGCTCTGTTAGAATTAGATTCAAATGATTTACAAAGCCTTATAATTTTTTATAATTAAGTTATAAACTCTAGTATATGTTTTATAAAGTATTATAAATCAATTTATAAACTCTTATAAATCAATGTATACACTCTTGTCAATCAAAATATAATCTCTTATAAATTAGTTTATAAAATTTCATAATTTAGTTCATGACCGTAGGGTTTACTAATCTAATGGGAAGTAGTAGTAAACATTAGATCTGAGGGGTGGGGGTAACAGGGTGGGGTCTAGAATTTTAGTTATGCTGTTATAAATTCTTATACATTATTCTATAAACTTTTATAACAATTTATAAACCATTATAAGATCTAATAGTTGAGTTTATAAGGGGTTATACGTTGTTCTCATAAATATTAATTATGTTTTTATAAACCCTTATAGATTGTTATATGAAGTTTTATAACATTTTATAAATCCTTATAAAAACTGTTAATAATGCCATATAAGAAATATATTACAAATGTGTAATTACTTATAATAATACTTCATAAGCCCTTATACTTTCTGTATAATACATAACACATTTTATAAGCACTGGAAAATCTAGACATAAAATTGACGGGTGCACTACGTCTATATTATGAATCAATGGGTGCAAAGAATATGATTAAGTATTTATAAACCATTTATAAATACTTATAAATGACTTATAAATCCTTATAAATGACTTATAAACCCTTATAAATAGTTTATATAATTTTATAAGTGATATAGAGACTTCTGTAATGATATATAAACATCTTCTAATGACTATTTATAAATTCTTATAAATAGTGTTATGAAGATTATTAAACTCTTTTAATCTTTTGTATAAATCCTTGTCAACAGATTTATAAACCTTGTATCTCTTATAGTGATGCTAAATAATATGTCACTTTTGTTGATGTAGATACATTTGTGTGTTTATCTTTGCAGTGAAATGCATGGGAGCCCATTTGTCGCCATGTGGTATATATTAGCAGCCTGTGTTATTCCTCGTGCTGAGACAACTCCTAGATTCTAAACTCTGGTCCAACAAGATTCAGGGCTTGCAACTTCCCCTACTCGACATCCTGTCCTGTCACAGCACATCAAGTCATGTAGAAAGGAAACCAAAGTGATTATTTCCATCTGTTTCCTGGTTTTAATATTATTGAGAAGGTTGATCTTTTCGAAATATTCATACACGGTTTTATAAACTCTTATAAATAATTTATAAGCCTTTATAAAATGTTTTAAGATTTTATAGTTGAATTATCTTTAAAATTTCTACAAATCCTTATATATTCTTATATAAACATTTATAAAGCCTTATAAATCTTATATAAACTTTTTATAAACATATAAACCCTTATAAACCTATATAAAACCTTATAATTAATTTATAAAACCTTATAGATACTATATAAAATCTATGATTATAAATGACTTATACAATGATTATAAACTAATTTAGAAAAGCTNAATTTCTACAAATCCTTATATATTCTTATATAAACATTTATAAAGCCTTATAAATCTTATATAAACTTTTTATAAACATATAAACCCTTATAAACCTATATAAAACCTTATAATTAATTTATAAAACCTTATAGATACTATATAAAATCTATGATTATAAATGACTTATACAATGATTATAAACTAATTTAGAAAAGCTTATAAACTTATTTATAAAAAAATATAACTAACTATAAATGGCTTATAAATAATATTATAACAGATGACAAGGAGAAACAGAGTCAGTATGATGTCAAGCGCAAAATCAATTCACAGGTTGCTAGCAGACAGCTGAATTCAAGAAGTGCTAGTGGGAATAATGTTAAGAAGGCTACCTTATAAATCAGTTCATACATTCTTGTAAATCAAAATAAAATATCTTATAAATCAGTTTATAAGATTTCATAAATCAGTTTCTGAAATCTTATAAACCTTTATAAATAATATATAAGCTTTTATATATGCTATATTAACTCTTATAATATTAGATACTTTGTAAATGTTTTATAAACCATTATAATTTGTTTATAAACACTTATATATGACTTTTTAAACCATATGAACAATTTATAAATCCTTGTAAAATGACTTTATATATTCTCTTACAAGAGTTTTTATATATATTTCATAAAACTTGTCAACATTATAAAGATTTTATTAATTTTCTGATATTCTAAGAAGAGCATGCTTTTTGATATTCTAAAACAGAGTGTGAATAGGATGCGTGAGAGTCATGCTTTTTGATATTCCCCTAATGATTTATAAACTATTCTAAATGAATACTCTTATAAATTGTTTTATGAAGATTATTAAACTCTTTTAATATTTTGTATAAATCCTTATAAATAGATTTTTAAACCTTGTAAATAGATTTGTAAACTCTTATAAATGGGTGATAAATTCTTATACAAGGTTTTATAAACCCTTATAAATAGTTTTATAAACCTTTATAAATAGTTTATAAATATTTATAAGTCTTTTATCAACTTCTTAAAAGGTTCATACAATTTTTTATAAACTCTTATAAACACACGTAAATAGTTTTATTAATCATTATAGATGTTTCGTTCGCAAACACAAATAATCCATCGAAGAATATGTAGATAAAATGAAACATTTACTGAGTCTATAACCATTTAGAAAGACTTATAAAAAAATTTATAATGGTTTATAAAATAATTTGTAAGGAATTATAAGGGTATGTATAAAAACAATTTATAAAGTGTATACACATTATAAAGGATTATAAAACAATTTATAAAGGTATGTAAAATTATTTGTAAGAGTCTGTAAACCATTTATAAAGGTTTATAAAACAAATTATAAAATCTATAAACCATTTATAAATGTTTATAAGAAAGTTATGAAAGTTTATAAATAATTTTATAGGATAAAGTTTATCAATAATTCTCTGTTGACGATGTTAGCATGTTTAACATATATAGGACGATTGAACCAAACGACTCTTGTACGAGATTTAAAGTGGAAATTCACAATTAAAACAAATTACTCTAATTATTGTGATCACAAATCTTTTTGCTTAAACCCAAAGTTTTACTTGCTGTTGTTTCGAACCATCGGTCTCGCTATTCACAGGAGTGGTGGAGCCACTACGTTTACTGGTCTGACCTGTAATTGTTCTACCCATGAATCTCCCTGCTTTGCTCAATCCGCTACCAACCATCCCAACACCCGAGCTCACCCTGGTTCCAACCATTCATACTCCTGCACCAATTCCTGTCCCAACCATTCCTACGCCAGCACCGAGCCCACTTCCAACTGCATCCATTGTGCTACCTATCATTCCTGCATCCTTCAGTCTCTTCCTTTCTTCCATTATTTTCTTCTCTTCTTCTACCGCAGCCATTTGCTCCTCTTTGTTGAACTCATGATAATGTACCTTCAAATAAAAAAATTGGTTTAGGAAACAGAGTGAAGGAAGAAGCTTTGCGGTTTATTGAAGGGAAGATCTACCTTAAGTGTTATACTTCATCTATCTTTCTTATCTTTTACTTTCAAAGTATCAAGTGAAGACAACAGTTCAGCTCCATTTCTTTTGTAACCTCAACTTCCAAACTGCTTAAAGGAAGTTTAACAAGCCCGAGATGCTCGTCTTGGCCTACGTCTTTTATCAAATACATGTCAAGAGTTTAACAAAAACGAGACGAATAGTTATTATTTTCCGTGACAAAGTTGAACAAGTACGAAAGTATAACAGTTTCAGGTTGCAAACCTCTACAGTGAGCGATTGGGTTTCTTTGTCCTCTGCAATCAGTTCAAATGTATGGTCCCAAACAGGATTCAGGTTGTTCTCGATTGCCTTTGTTTTATACTTGAAGACGGGACGAATGTGGATGGTAGCATAAGGGTCAGATTTTCCTATCAATTCCTTATTCTTCAAGTTTGTTGCTCTCACTACTGTTACTATAAGCTTCCCCTGTGGCTTAAGTTCTAAATCACTGTAACAGAGAAAAATACAGAGAATAGTCAATATTTAAAATGCTTTCACCATATACCATTGCTCTGAATAGTCATTCTGTTCAGATTGTGAACACACATGTATGTCAGCACACCAAAAAGAGTTTCCACAAAACACAGTCTTAGCTAATAACACTATTGAGAAACTATTTACCTCACTAGTTGGGGAAACTAAAGATATTAAAGAGGTAAAAGGATGAGCTTCCTTGCTGTACACCAGAGAGCCATCAATGAGACATGAAATAATCGGAAGGATGACCGCATGACCATGCTCCGGATGATGAAGGACAAATATAGCTGTTATTACATCAGCAAGCCAAAATCAGATTACACCATTAAAAAATGGATCATAAGTGTTTGATAGAAGCTCATACATACCCAACACATCATCCAAAAGCCGCTTCTCAGTTGATGGATACGGATTCCGGACCAACTGATTCAGAGATAATTTATAAAAATCAATAAATCATCACTGCTGAGAGAAGCTTTAATCAGTAAAATAGGCAACATAAACACACAACAAGTACCTAAGAAATATCATCATGGAATTGCTCTGATGTGAACTGACCAAAGTATTCGACATAAGCTACAACTTGATCCTAAGGAGAAAAGACAACCTCATATCAGCACCGGTTCATGGATGAGACAACTTCTAAAAGAACAGAGGCTTCTTTATTATTGTTAGTTACCTTATGTTGTTGAGGGTCACGTGGAGGAGACCATAACAAAGAAGAGAACTGTAGACCATCGGTCCACCTCTCAGAAGAAGTAGGCGAAGTCATCCATAGAGTGAATGGTTACACAATCTTAACACCACCAGTAAACCCACAAATAAAGCTCCAATCTTTTTTTTTTCCTAACCAATCGAGAATCAATTGCTCCTGATCTACTCAACTACAGTAAACCATAAAGTTCTGATTTGCAGAGTGTGATTGATTCCATAATATCGTAGAATCGAAATAAGGACGGATGCATCGCCATCTCCCTTGGCTTGTCACCGGATGCGTCGCCAACGCCGTCGGATTGTCACCGGATGTGTCCTTGATAATGATGCCCCATCCTGTACATCCCTCCTCCACCTTCCTTATCGCCTCTCCCTGTAGTCGTCGTCATCCTCTCCCCTTCCACCTCTGTATACTTCTGCAAATAAACCTTCAATGGCTCCACGTAATCCTCGAACCCTAACGTCGTCATCACCCAAAGTAAATCGTCGCCGTTGATCGTCTTCCTCTTCTCCTTCTGACACTTATCCGACGCTTCTCCCGTGATGAAACTTATGAACTCCGACACCANCTCCCTGTAGTCGTCGTCATCCTCTCCCCTTCCACCTCTGTATACTTCTGCAAATAAACCTTCAATGGCTCCACGTAATCCTCGAACCCTAACGTCGTCATCACCCAAAGTAAATCGTCGCCGTTGATCGTCTTCCTCTTCTCCTTCTGACACTTATCCGACGCTTCTCCCGTGATGAAACTTATGAACTCCGACACCACTCCTGAACAGTCTCCTTCGTCGCCATTGCATGAGACAGAGAGAAGGCGGATCTAGCCGAGAGAAGAATCTAATTGAAGAGAAGATAGATCAAGGTTAACATTGTCTTTTGATATTAATGAATGTGTGTATTTATGAAAATGTCTTTTGATTGGTGGTAAAATTGAATAATGGTATCAAACAAATGGTATTTGTGCAATTATCCCATCAAAATTTGATACTGAAAACTAGAATTAAAAACTTTTTACTCCAAAATAACCAAGATGAGGTGGCAATTGTAGAGTCCAAGTTTACAGATTAGCACGACGCTCTAATGTTTCAGATTGCTTATTTTGTTTCTTACAAACTTGTCAAATTCCTCTGATGGTGGATCTAGGAGACTTCTAAAACATGTATCTAACTAATTATATGGATAAATTTAAATAAAAAAAAACATAATTAAGTTAGATATGGTTCTATAATTTGTGCTTTTGGAACCAAATCCAACTGACACGTGTCATGTTGTGATAGGCAGTATTTAAAAAAATAAAAATAAACCTAATTGTTATTTATCTCTCTCTTTCGTGAGACGAAGGTGAAAAAAATTTCTCGACGAAGGTTGATCTTCACCCTGAACTCCTCGATCCCTTCTTTTTGTTCTTCCTCGCCGCCGTTCTCCACAGATTGCTGGTAGTTGCTGCTCCGGTATTCAGACGGGAAGCAGAGGAGGCAGAGATTGAAAGGCGGAGATTGGTTGTCAAGAAATCGATCTCTTCGGTCTCTCTGTTCTCGTTCTCGTCGTCGTAGGCAGGTGAGTTTCACCAAAAAAATTCGAATCCTTTTCCTGAATTTTGCAGGAAAAGACCAAACTTTTTTTTTGGTTATGTTTATTGTTCTCTGCTTTAAGTTTAACTAAGTTCGATTTCTTTTGTTTTCTCATAAACTTGTGTATTAAGTTTAACTAAGTTCGATTTCTTTTGTTTTCTCATAAACTTGTGTATTTAGTTTTATTTAGTTCAGATCGAGGGTTAAAAACTACCTGCCTGCTTTATTATGTATGTTTTGGATGGAATACAACTATGCAGCATCTGTTTCTTAATTAACTTCAGTCTAGAGCATATACAAATACAAATGATTCCATAAAATGTTTGTGCAGGTGCACTTGATAAAGGTGGAGTCGGCGCTTTGGAATTGGTTGCCATGGATATGAAAGCGAGGTTTAAGAAGCCTGTGTCATACTTTTGAGCCATTCGCATTTGCTCATGTTCATTCTAACATACTTTCTTCTTAATAGGGGGATGTATGTATGCCGTACCCTGAGCTACAAAGGGGCTGAGTTTGAGATTGTTGAAGCTCCTTTAGAAGCAGGAATGGAGGTAAATCTTATTATTTTGCTTGAGGTGCACATATCTCTATTGACTTCTAGTTCTTTCCTGAAGTAATGGCATGTAAGCTCAACAAAGCCGTCTCGGCTGAAGCTTGAAACCAAGCTCTTACAAAAATTAGGCAGGCCTTATTGTGTTTATGATATTGACATTCTTGTAGTCTTAAATTAAAATCTGAATGGTAATACTTTTGGCAAGCAAGTTCATTATTTCTATAGTCTCCTGTTTCTATTTTCAGAGATCCTTGTCAATAAATTAAAAAAATACGCTGCTTGTGTTGAATTAATTGCTTTCTTCTGTAGGCAATGTACAATAAGTCTGCAGAATTTTGGGCAGATCTACGGATAGAGATGTTGTCAGAACGTTAAACGTTATCTCTAAGAATCCATATTTCCTGGAGACTATATTGGTCAAGCCATCAGGTTAAAACTTCAGGAAATATGGATTCTTAGAGATAAAGTTTAATGTTTAACGTTCTTGTCTTATCCATTAGTTAAAACTACATATGGATTATAGAGTGTGATGTAAGTAAACTCTTATTACAAAATTTCAAATTTTTGAAATTTAGAACTTTTCCTTGGTTCTACCATTGGAGGGACTAAAACTAAACAAGTACCTAAAATTTTAAATTTAATTATTTTCACTTAAAAAATTAATTTAGAGCCTTAATAGTGGTTCTATTGTTGGAGATGGTCTTACATAAAAGGTCTTTAATTTTGGATGCCGACAAAAAAAAAACTCAGTTTCACTCATTCAACTAACATTTAAGCAAAATTCACAAGTATTTAAATTCTTTCACCTCTTCAACATAGAAGAGACTTTAAATATATGAAAACATACATGTGATTTTTTAAATATATGAAAACATTTTAAAACCTTAAGATTTTTCTAATCTACAAAAAAAAATTATAAAATAAAGTTACTAACAATAAAACAAATTACACTGATTCTTTATACATCTTTAATGTATATGATTCATACTTATGACACTTTATTAAATCAATCAATATAACATATAATTGAAATTGTTCTAAAACGAGTTTTATAAAAGAAAGATATATGAAGAACAATGTCATTAAAGTATATGAAAACATAAAATTTGAAGAGGTTTATCAAAAAAAAATTAGTAAAAGTATTTAATAATATTTAAAAGTAATATTGACATTCAAATATAGTTACAGAAACAACATATTAGGATATGGAATATATTAATTATACATTAATCAATTGTTGACTGTATTATCTGTAATATTAATAAATAAACTAAAACAATGAAATTTTGATAAACTTCTAACAGTTAGAACACAAAATTTATGTGAACTAATAAAAAATCATAGTTATAAAATCAATTTATATTCTAACTAGATTAAACATTATACATTTTAAACATTTCTTATATCTAACAAAATCAGCAAATCCAAGGCTTTTGAAGACCAATCGCATGAGATCTAGAGGAAGCTCGGACCAGCGAGGGAGATTTCTTTTTACCTAGTAGGTACTTTAAAGAATATTAATTATAGATTTATATATTTGTATCTTATCCAAGTCTCTATTCTTAGGAACACAGAAGAAGTTTGTACACACTTGGCTAAAGCACAAGAAGGAAATTCCAGGCCAAGCAAATTGCCAGTTATATTTTTTTACCAGTTATTATTAAAGCTTAAATTAAAATAAAAAACAACGAAGAGAAACCCCTTATAGATGGGATTAATCATTCCGGAAACTTGGTAAGTACAAACGAGCTATAGAGGATGAAACAGAGAAAGAAACAAGGTGTGTTAGTTGTTCAACCTTCTTTGTATCGAGATTTAATACAAAGATTTCAGTGTCGTCCAAATTTATCTCATCACCAGTGAAGTAAATGGAGTTACTAGTGACACCTTCCTGGTTCTTAGCAAGCACTGTAATACCCAAATCCAAAAGAAACGCCTCATCTCCCAAGGAAACAATTTCCTCCAACCCCTTTGATGAATCCATCTTGAAGATTTTAAAGTTCCATGTTTCAGACATAAAAGGACTTTCGCTCTTGACAATTAAGACATCACCTCGTATAGTGACTACCACATTCTTCCTCCTGCGAACCTCTTGGACATGCCATGGAATTCGAGGCAATCTCACCCGTCCGCCTATTTTTGCTGGTTTTTACGCATCCCGCTCCTACGCTAACTCTGGAAACTTAGAACTCACCAGAAAACTCGAAAATACGGAGTTCATCGTTGGTAAGACAATAGAGCTTGTGATCTTTGAATACCACGTCTCGGATACTTGACAACTGTGTCGGGATTTGTTTCCACGATTTATCACCTTTCCTGAAACAAACTAGGTCATATCCTATAACAAAGTATTCTTTGCTCTTATCATCTATCCACAATATGGGAGAGTAAAGTCTTTGATCCGATTTAGTTAGGTTGATCCTCTTGCGAGTTAAAAGGCTGAAAATATAAAGAGGGTCTTCCCTGTTTGAATAACTAGGATCCATCAAAAGCCAGCTTCTACTAGTGGCCAAACAAGAACTCATTGCAAAGTCGTCTTTATGAAAACAGGGAAGACCCTCTTTATATTTTAAATCTTTTAACCCTCGAGATGATCAATCTACCTCCTACTTCAGAACGACTTTACTCTGCCATATTGTGGATAGACGATAAAACCAAAGATTACCTCGTTATAGGAGAAACTCTGGATTATTGCAAGAAATGTTATAACTCGTGGAAATAAATCTCGGAAGGTAGCCAAGACCAAGAAGATATGGTATTCAAAGATTACAAGCTCTATTGTCTTACCAATGATGAACTCCGCATTTTCGACTTTTCTGGTGAGTTTCCTCTACAAGTTTCCAGAGTTAGCGTAGGAGGGAGATGCGTAAAACCAGCAAAAATAGGCGGCCGGATGAGATTACCTCAAATTCCATGGCATGTCGAAGAGGTTCGCATGGGGAAGAATGTGGTAGTCACTGCACGAGGTGATGTCTTAATTATTAAGGGCAAAAGTCCTTTTATGTCCGAAACATGGAACTTTAAAATCTTCAAGATGGATTCATCAAAGGGTTTGGAGGAAATTTTTTCTTTGGGAGATGAGGCGATTATTTTAGATTTGGGTATTACAGTGAATGCTAAGGACCAGGAAGGCGTCACTAGTAACTCCATTTACTTCACTGGTGGTGAGATACATTGGTACTACACTGAAATCTTTGTATTCAATCTTGATACAAAGAAGGTTGAACAATTACCACAACTTGTTTCTTCCTCTGTTTCATTATCTAGAGCTCGTTGGTTCTTACCAAGTTTCAGGAATGATTGATCCCTATCTACAAGGGGTTTCTCTCCATTGTTATTTTTTTATTTAATTTTGAGCTTTAATCAAAATTGGTAATTAATATTTTCTTGGTCTTCAAGCTTTCTATTCCTTTTTTCCTTCTTGTGAATACTCTTATGTGCCCTTATGAGTAGCGACTGGGTTTGTTACTACCTGAATATAATATTTGTGAATATAAGAAATAATAAATTTGGATAGGGTACAAATATATGAACTTACAATTAATGGGAGCTAAATTCTTCTTCTTTCTGTGATGTAACTCTAAAACTGTGATCTTCTTAATTTTACCGCTTCTATTTCAATCGTTGCAGAAATTAATGTTGTGGTATTCAGTCCCTTATCCTGATCAAAATCAATCACGAACAATGAATCTGATGCTTCATGAGTTCTCGTTTCCTGAATTGAGTTGCTTTCCAAAACCGTTTCCATTTCGAGTGAATGTGTAGCTTCACTTAAAGATAACATTTTTTTCAATATCTAAATTATATGTCCTTACCTTATGCTTGCTAGTTGCTACATATATCCGAAATAAACAGCTGTACACCGATAACATGGGACAAAAACTGGATTGTGGCATGACTTAAATGTGCATAAGCGCTTTTCTGTGTATGTTACTAAATCAATTCCTTTCTCGACATATCTTATATTCAGGGAGTTCGTTACAATTGTTTTGCTGTTTCTAAAGAAGTATGAAGCAAAAAAAAAAAAGTGAGTAGTTGAATTTTGACACATGCACTAGAATGCTTAGGTAGGTGAAGCACGTAGTAGAATATCATTAAGTTGGTAAACAACTCCCACGATCGTTTATGGATGAAATGAGTCCTATTGCACCTATACGGATGAACATAAAACGACATCCAAAATGTATATAATAAGCTTTAAAATAAGTGAAAATATTTATATTATCATCTAGCTCATAGTCCATAAAATAGTTGTTTCAAACCTCATAAATGTGATATGATCATATGAATAATATTGTAGTAGTAACATATTCACAATAATGTACACAATAAACAGGTCGATTCTTGTGTTTACGAAGTTAAATCTCCTTTTAGTTAAAACTAAAATAGTTAATAATACAGCCAGCTCCGAAGAAAAAAGTATTGATGGCCGAAGAAGAAATTGGCCTTATGATACAGAAAGGGAAGCGATGGTGACGAATAGGAAATGTTATAAGTGTGTCAAAATTTCAGCTGATAAAAAGGAAGAGCATTGTGAAGCTGATGCTAAAGATGCCTCACATGCTTCTTGATCACAAGAAGAGTAGGTGAGATAAGAAGATGAATGAATAAGAGAAAGCTAAAGAAGACAAGTGATCTGATGAGATTTTGTTAAATAAAGTTAATAGCACGTGGCGATATAAAACATAAATATTAGGATAAATCTATCAAACTAAGCTCTTGCAAATTAGAAATGCAGAAATAATTAGTTCTTATCTTAATCAGATTTCTAGAACCAAATACATCTATGAATAGAACATGAAACACATGTACCGAGAAAATAATACTAATATGTTTCGTATTATCGAAAATGAGTTACCTATTCGATAAAAATATATTTGTGCGGCCAATGTTGACCAAGCTTCTCTACCACACGACCAAAACTGACGCAAGCAATGATAAAAAAGAGATGCCGCCACTTGAAATAAAAAAGGTGTCCAGGTTCAATGAACCTAGTTTCACCTGCTTCTTTTATAATCCCACATTTGTTCAGACAGAGAGATCCCAAAACAAACAAACAACACTTATTAGATCGTACAATTGTCTGGAAAAAAAAACACATATAAAAAACTGTTTGTTTTGTGTGAAATGGCACTAGCAATCAACGTTTCTTCATCTTCTTCTCCGATCTCCAGCTCTAGCTTCCCTTCTTCAGACCTCAAAGCTCCACAAATCGGTTCGTTGAGGTTATCAGATCGTATCAATGTCTCATCTGCATCTCTGAGTCTATCTTCCCGATCCTCTGTGAAAGCTCTGAATGTTCAGTCAATCACAAAGGAATCTATGCTTCCTCCTCAAGCAGCATCCATGATTGCCTCTGGTAAGTCCTGTTCAATTGCGATCTTGGTTTAGTTTTAATTTGGTTATATTTCTTCTAATGATCTTTGTCCCATTTCTTACAAAACAGAGGCTACAGAGAAAGTAGATGTGATCGAATTGGAAGACTTCGAATTGCTAGCAAAGAAGCTAGAGACTGCTTCTCCTCTTGAAATCATGGACAAGGCTCTTGAAAAATTCGGAAACGACATTGCAATTGCCTTTAGGTAATAAATCATAATAATATTAAAAAGATTTTTCCAGTTAACAACATTTTGCTAATTTAGATATTTTTTTTTTTTTACAGTGGAGCAGAAGATGTTGCTTTGATTGAGTATGCTCATTTAACAGGAAGACCTTACAGGGTATTCAGTTTAGACACAGGGAGACTAAACCCCGAAACATACAGACTCTTCGACACCGTGGAGAAACACTACAACATTCGAATCGAATACATGTTTCCCGATGCTGTCGAGGTGCAAGGTTTAGTAAGAAACAAAGGTTTGTTCTCTTTCTACGAAGACGGCCACCAAGAATGTTGCCGTATCCGAAAAGTAAGACCGTTGAGGCGTGCTTTAAAAGGCTTACGCGCTTGGATCACCGGACAAAGAAAAGATCAATCACCAGGGACAAGATCAGAGATCCCCGTTGTTCAAGTTGATCCAGTGTTTGAAGGACTAGACGGTGGAGCTGGTAGTTTAGTGAAGTGGAACCCCGTTGCGAATGTCGAGGGAAACGATGTTTGGAACTTTTTAAGGACTATGGATGTTCCTGTCAACACGCTACACGCTGCGGGGTATGTTTCTATAGGGTGTGAGCCTTGTACTAGAGCGGTTTTGCCAGGTCAGCACGAGAGAGAAGGGAGGTGGTGGTGGGAAGATGCTAAGGCTAAAGAGTGTGGACTTCACAAAGGTAACATCAAAGAGAGTAGCAACGGAAACGAAACGGCTAATGTTAATGGAACATCAACGGTTGTTGATATTTTCAAAAGCGAGAATGTTGTGAGCTTGAGTAGGCAAGGGATTGAGAATTTGATGAAGCTGGAGAATCGTAAAGAGGCGTGGATCGTTGTGCTTTATGCGCCTTGGTGCCCGTTTTGTCAAGCGATGGAGGCTTCGTTCGATGAGTTGGCGGATAAGTTGGGGGGAGATGGTGTGAAAGTGGCTAAGTTTAGAGCTGATGGTGATCAAAAGGAGTTTGCTAAAAGTGAGTTGCAGCTTGGGAGCTTTCCTACTATTCTTGTGTTCCCGAAGAACTCTTCAAGACCTATCAAGTATCCATCTGAAAAGAGAGATGTTGATTCTTTGACATCTTTCTTGAATCTTGTTAGGTAAAACTGTGAAAATTCGTCGACTTTATGTGAAAGAGATGAGTTAAAAGAATCATTCAGTCTTGTTCTAGAATGTTAGAACAGATGAAGATCATGTGATCCTCTACTGAATGTATAGTTGTGGTTAAAAATGTTTGCTTTGTGTGCTTATAGTTTTCATTTCGTACTCTTTTTGCTTATGTGATTGATTATATAAACAAGTTTTCCAACAATGGATTTAGGTATAGGAGTGCAAAATAATGTAAAAAATAGTTTCCAAATATTATAAATCCAAAGGCAATGATTCTAAACATGAAAAGCAAAGCGAAAGCCAAAGAGAACAAATCTTCATAGTTTATGGTATATACATCAAAGTCATGGAAAGATTCAAATTTTATTCAATGAGCGATAAGAGATCCAAAAGTGTTCTCTCCACTGTAAGTCATGTAGAGGAACCCATCTTCATCTTTGTGTTCTTCATAGATTGCAGACATCAATGCAGCTGTTAATTAATAAACAAGAGATATGAGCTTTAAGAAATTACTTCGATCTTGAGTGGTATTAAGTCTTGAAAGAGTCCACTTACCAGTTGGAGGCAATGTGTTTTTGACAAAGACAAAGATTGCTTTCTCAGCTCCAAGCTTGATTCTTTTGCGAACCACGTACACAAATTGACCAACGGATAGGTCTGCTGGGACGAGATACCTAAACAAACATTATTTGTGTGTTGATTAAGAATAATCATTCAGGATAATGCTAACTTAAGAGAAGATGAACTCAGCAAATAACTTACTTCTTCTTGTCAATGTCAGGAACATCACTTTGTCCAGCCTTTTCCACAATCACCTATTCAATATAAGTTTCTAAGATTAGAACAATGCTTAACTAAATTTAGTAAAAGAATATAATGTTTAATCAAGTTGAGAGCGTACAGGGACTCTGTCAGGGTACTTCTCTCTGATTCTAGTAGCTTCACCCATCCTTGCCTCTGTTTAACAAAATCACAAAGCATCAAATCACATTAGAACAAATCTGATGGTAATGATGTAATCTCATAGGATTCAGAGACTAATTGACTAGGGTTGGTTTAGCCAAATTTGTAGACTTACGAAGCAAGAACGAACAAAAACAGAGAGATAAATAGCAGAGAAAGAAAAAAACATATGCAAAGATTGAACCACCATGAAAAGTTCTATACACAAAACTAAAATAAAAAAAAACTCTGTAAATAATACAGACAGAGCTAAACGATCTGAAGCTTATGGTCTGTAATAATAAAAATAAAGTCAGAAACTTATGTTCGGTAGTTAAAATAACTAAGAAACAAAAACGAGAGGATCTGAGGAACTAACCGAGAGGATGAGAAAGCTTGAAGGAACTCTTAGCCATGGCGATTCGATTGGACTCTGAAAATTTCAAACACGAAAAGATCATGATTTCGATCTTATAAACTCGATCGATGATAAAATCGACCGTCTGCGAAATCAGGAAAGTAATAAACACAGAACAACCCTAGAAACATACCTGAAGAAGAAACTGTATGCTATTCGTCGAAACAAAGTAGGGTTTGCTGGAGAAATCGATTTGATAAGGATAAGAAGTCAATATCAAAAGAGGCTAAAGAGTATTAAAACTAAACAACAAAGGAAATAATTGGTTTAGGGTTTTCTAAAAGGGTTGCCTACACGGAACCGTAACTTCCACTGTTTGTGGAATCGTTAACCACTTGGCTTAGTATTGATAGTTGATTGGACGACAAGCAATCTCTGACACATATCTTACGTCAGCACCGTTGAATTATTCAGAGCCTTTTGGGTTGAAGTGGGCCTTATTATTCCGCTAGTTGTATCGCTAATGTTTTTTTTTTTTTTTGTCAACTGTATCGCTAATGTTATAAGTTGACAGAAAATAAAATTTTAATTCGGAAGTCAAATATACAAGTAATACATCATGTAAGAAGAGGGTTGGTTCTGGCCTCTGGGCCTATAAACATTGGCCTTCACCCTTCAATTTTATAAAATCTAATATAAATAACATAAGTTATATAGTTCAAAATTTCTGAAGTTAGATATATTAAAAGAGAAACATTGTAATAAATGTATTATACTATAACATTACAATCATTTGACAGTTAATTCGTTTACACACTAATTTTTAAAATTCATTGTTTAATGTGTTTATACACTATTTTTATTAATTATTTCATTTTTCTACATTTTTAGCCCGTGTATTAATAAATTAAAATTTTCTATGTGAAACTAATGAATAATATCTTATTGTAAAGAAAAAGGAAATCATGAAGATTCGCATCAACTAAAATGTTGCGATAAAATGTTTATAGAAATTGAAAGTTTCATACCTTGCCGAAATTGGTCATAGTTGACGTTTCGGTACACAATAACAATAAATAAGTTGATTGATTATGAATTAAAAAAAAAACTAAGGTGAAAATCACCACACGTGAAGTCGGATCTTTAGTTTCTTCAAATATTAACATTTTTATAAAGTTTTTATATCAGACCAAGAATTAGAAAAAAAAACAAATTGGTAGAAAAAAAATCAGAAATCTAGAAAAGCTTTAAAAGAAATAAAAATCACAAGATCGATTAAAAACATAATTCAGATACCAAGTGAAGATGTTACTTTGTAATATATATATTATTTTTATTGTTTACGGGTACAATTTGATTTTATTCTTATGAAAAAATGTTATTAATTTCTAGGTTTGATTTATTTTTACTTAATTTTATTTAAGAATTTACTATCATGTGTTATTTTGAACAAAAATATTTTAAATCTTCATTATCGGTATATTCATATATTTATAATCACATTTATATACTATTACATATACATACATTTACACATTGACATGAGCAACTATATAACTAAATATTCACCACAAGTGAGAATTTTAATTCTTATTGAAGTTGAATTTTTCTTTAATGTTATCCTTCACTGTTGCTCAAATTGTAGTGAAATGTTTTGTATTAATAATTATATTTTATTTTTCTTCAAATTATTTAGATTTTATTTGATTTTACATGTCTTTAGAAATTATAATAGGAAACTATTAGTTCGACATAAAAATGTCTAAAATTTATATAAAACGAAACCAAACAAATAACAAAATTTTTTGGTTATCATAAAAAACATCAAACATTTAAACCAAACAAACCAAAATAAATATAGATTTAAAATAATAGTTATATTTTAGGAGATTAAAAAAAACAACGTAAAACTATACCAATATCCATGCTAAACAGACATTATATCATTTTTATTTTAAAAATAAAAAAGTAATCTCATTCTAGCGGGTTATTACCTAATTATTACTTAAAACCTGTACATGGCCAGATGAATCTCAATAACTTTTGTAGATGGTAAGAGTTGTTTTCTACCATAATCCACATGACAAACTATCATTCACGTAACAGCGTTGCTTAGTTGCTGCTACTTGCCAACTTGCTAGTAAAGCTGACTCTAAGTGAGAACGTAGATAGGATCGAAGTATAGACTCATAACTGAATTTTACTTGAAGTAAAGAAAAATTTGAAGAAGATTGAACAAACTAGTTATGTTTATAACATGATACTAGGATTTGATCCGTGTCCCTGCATGGAATTTTGATTTATGATATATATATATATATATATATATATATATATATATATATATATATATATAGGATTTGATCCGTGTCCCTGCATGGAATTTTGATTTATGATATATATATATATATGTTTATAACCTGATACTAGTATTTGATCTGTGTGCCTGCATGGAATTTTGATTTATGATATGTATATATATATATATATATGAATATTCTGAAACACAAAAATTTAATGGTTGCATTTAAACTATTTAGTTTATCAATACCGGCCAAATATTACATTATTGGATCATGTTATATATCTTACTATATAAAGCTTGGTTCTTCCAAGTTACTACTTCCTCCGTTTCATATTAAGTGTTGTTATAGAGAATTTTTTGCGTTACAAACTAAGTGTCGTTTTCGATTTTTAATACAAAATTTATTAATTTTATTATGTAATTAGTTTTTCTATTGGTTAAAATATGGTTAGGTGTATAGGTGAATGTGTTTTTATATACGAAATATGTAAAATTAATTATTTTCTTAATCTGTGTGCACATAAGCTGTAGAGTGACATTTATAATGAAATAGAGGGAGTAATTAACAAGATTGTGACACATGTCAAGTATATATTTATGATTGTGACATGTTTCAAACAATTTCATAATTAATATATATACATATATATGGATAATAACAAAAACGAATTTTGTTAAAAAATAATTAGAAATATTATTTAATGGTAATTTTCCATTTTTAAAATCCTAAGTAAAGAATATTTACAAAAACAATATTTAATAGTAATTTTTCATTTAATATTGTGGCATGTATTAAAATTCTCATGATTAAAAGTATATCTACTAAGATAATAAAAATTTTGTTTGAAGATATTAATTTTAAAATTGATTAAAATTAAAAGAAAAAAAAGAAGCTAAAATTTTTTAATTGTAGTTTTCCTTTTTACAAATCCTAAACACAAATATTTAAAATAAAAAATAAATAATTTTGCACATAACAAATTTAAATATTTTTAAAAGTAAAAATAAATAAAGAGTAATTGTATTTTTCCTTTTTTAGAAAACCCAAAACAACAAACTATTCGTAAAATAGATTATTATCAATTTTCCTTTTCTAAAATCGTAAAAAAATTAATTTATAGTAATTTTTCAATTAGAATTTTATATATGTAAAAATATATCATATTAACAAAATATATATACGAAAAAAGGAAAATTATTTTACAGATAAAATTAATGTTTTTAAATTTTGAATAGCAATTTTTCTAAACCATTTTCCTTTAAAAAATTTCAAACAAATAAGGATTTGAAAAATAATTTATTTGATATTACTTTTAATTTTCCCAAATTCTGAATAAAAGGTATTTGAAAAAATAAAACTTATGCTAAATATTTTATAGTAATTTTTCTTTTCTAAAATCTTGAAAATAAGAAAATTATAAAAGAGAGTTTAATAGCAGTTTTCCTTTTTAAAATCCTAAACAAAAACAAATTTAGAATAATTCTTTCAAATATTATTTATGCTCTTTTCTTCTTAAGCTGATGATTAGTATAATATAAATATACTAAGATAATAAAAACAAAATTTGAAGATATTAATTTTAAAAATTGTTTAAAAGTAGAAAGAAGAAGTTAAAAGTGTTTAATTGTAATTTTAATTTTCACGAATCCTAAAAAAAAGTATTTAAAATAATAAAAAACGAATTACAAATATTAATTTTAAATATTGTGTAAAATTAAAAAATAAAAGTTGTTTACCTGTAATTTTCCTTTTTGTAAATCCTAAAAAAAAAAGTATTCATAAAGTATATTATTATTTACCAATTGGATTTTCTAAAATTATAAAGAAAATATTGTTTTAAAAGATTATTTGATAGTAAATTTTCTTTTAATTTTTTATATATGTTAAAATAAATCATGATTAACAAAATATATATACTAAGATGATAAAAGTGATTTTAGAAATAAAAGTTATATTATAATCAATTAATAGAAATTTTTCTAAACCATTTTATTTTAAAAAATTTAAACAAAAACAAAATATTTTCAAAATAATTTATTTGATACTAATTTTCCTTTTCTAAAATAATGAAGAAATGGTAATTGAAAAAAATATTTTCTACTAATTATCCTTTTCTAAAATCTTAAACATAAAAAATTATAAAAGAGTGTCTATAGTAGTCTTCCATTTTTCAAATCCTAAAAAATAGTATTTGTAAAATAATTATTTGAAATATTTTTTATGTTCTTTTATGCTTAAACTGGTGATGATTTTTATGGTTGTTATATTCTCATGATGTCGTACGTTAATTATTTCCATAGTTATACTTAGGTGTTTGTATGTAGTATATATTTTTTGATATTTTATATAAGTTAATGTGCATATTATACTTTTGTATGTTTGTTTTATAGAAGCTATAAAATTAGTTATGCTATTTTTTTATTTGAATTTCAAATTACTATGTTGTTGTAACTAAGTTAATGGCAATACCATTTGTTACCTTTATGTACCATTTTACTTATGTCTAATTGTTAAATTATTTAATTAAAAACCCTAATTGTAAAAATAGTAGTGATATGAATTGTAAAATAGTAGTTAATAAAAAAATTTATAGTATTAAAATAATTATCTTATAGCAATCAAATTTTAGATAATTGAAATGATTGTATGATAATAATATTTATTTTCTAAAATCTTAAACAAAAATGTAAAATAGTATTTGATAGTATTTTTTAAGTTATAAATAAAATATTTTATAAAATATAATGTTTTTGTTTGCAAAATCATAAGTAAAAAGAATTTTTTAAAAAAATTATTTAATAGTAATCTTAAACATAAAGATTTTGATGATAAACATGATACTAAAACAATTTAATCAACTAAAAAGACAAAAATAAGATTTTGTCGTGAATGATCTTTATATTGGTATTTGTATGTGTTTGGTCATACAAAAACAAACACATGTTTGGTATATTATTGTGTTTAGTCTCAAAAATAGATTATTATTATCATCAACATAAATGATTTTTATGTGTTTAGTCAAAAAGAAACCA